TTGCTGTTGCCATTAGCCGAGGTGTCGTGGGCAACGTGCTAAGGCCTCCACCTGTACTAATTATGCTAGAGAGACAAAACTGCATGCATTTAGCGCTTTTGTTCAGAGCTCGCAAACATAATTACAATTGGAAATTAATCGACAGTAGCTACCACAACAATAACGACAAAAACAACAACAATAACGACGTGGCAAGCGTTCCAAGTGACCAAACAATGCGCACAGTTTTTTCCTTCTCTGCTATGTTTTTGCATCGAATTACCAAAATGTTTATTAACTGAATTATTATAAACAGTACGACTACACTGGCAAATAAAATTTCAAACTACACTACTAAACAATAACTAACTAAAGACACTCTCCAAGCAGCAAATTTCAAAGCTCGTTAATTAAACGAAAGGCGAATCGTAACTTTATCCATGCTTTTCTGAAATTTTCTGGTTTTAAAGAAGTGATTTCCAAACAATCTCACCGAGATATGAAAAGTCGAAATTGGTTGAATGCGGTCCTAAAAAAAGTAATGGGTATTTATGATATTACAACAGCCCAAATGAATAATTTCAAGTCCATTTTCTAAAGATGGAAATAGTCTATTATATGATTTAATTTTTAAATGAAACGAATAATAACTTCATCACTTTTGCTCTAAAATGTTATTTTGTAATTCCTAATATAATTTTCAACTTGACAGCAATTGTATTGGAGTCTAGGGATTTGCTTATTCAGTCATTCAGTCAAGCAATGGGAAAAGGTTTTTAGTTTGAGATAATTCGAATTATAGATCATCTAGTATTTTATGTACAATAGAAGCTAAAGATTCCATAGATTCAGAGTTTCTGTTTCTTAAAGCTATAGCAATTAATTCAGCCATGTCGCTCAGAAATTTCGTTATATTGTATAGCAGATTTCCAGAAGCCAATAAAACTAAACTACAAATAGATGATGGGCTGATTTGGTCTGATCTAGTTTCATTGCATTTAATTTGTTGTTGCACAGTGTATGATTACTGCAGGGGCAGCGAAGGGCTGCTGGGGGGCGGGTGGACGGGGGGAGGAGGGATGTTGCCAGTCTAGGGTTACAGCTGCGCTCAGTCAATGAGCTTTGCGGTCTTGCGGCTGCGCGGCTTTGTGAGTCAAGGGCGATGGGGCGTGCTGGCCACTTAAGTACTATAAAATACGATAATTATGGCCAAAGCGTCGATGCAGCTAAAACGAACTGCTACTACCAGTTGGTGTTACTGGTAATGAGAAATTGCAACAAATTGCTGGATGCGCTTGCCAGCGCGTTGCACTATTGAATTATAAATAAGCTTCTTAAATGAATTGAATTTCTTCACACAGCACAGCGAATGAAGAAGGAGGGAATGTAGATCTATCAGCTTTAATGCCAATAAGACTCTCAGCTATCAAGCAAAACAAACACAATTCCACAGACAGTCTTTTACGATTATAACTCTTCATTTCCATTGTAGCATTGGCCTCAAATATAAAATGATGTCCAACTAATATAAATTATATGCATCACATTAGTTCAATGTTATGCAGCATTCATATACTTTTGATAAAAATCTGAATTAATGAAATAAAATTACAATTATACTTGTATAAAAAAAAATTTGCAACTTATATGTCATATTATTTTTATAGAAAAAAACAGTTCATATTTAAACACAATTCATTTTAAATCCCCTCTTGTAAATAGTTGTTAATTGACCAAATAAACAAATATATTTACAATTAAAAATTATTTGGCTTGGCACACAAACTGCCACTTGTCATCGATTATCGATAAATATAGACAGGTCGTTAAGTTGCGCAAAGAAACTTTTGTCAAAGAACTTATCGATGGAGGCAAACAAAGCTGCACAAAGAATTGTAATCAATGTTAAAAATTGTAGAACCTGAGCACCAAATGAATGTTGTTTTAAATATTTTCTAGAGCACACATATACAAAGAAAAGTATACCAGAACCTTAAAGAAACTCTGTTACTAGATTGATTGATTTAGAGAGTTTTGGGTCGAGTTTTGAATCGAATTATCAATATCAACTTATCATTCTTTTAAAATAATCCAATAATATATATAAATGTAGATAGATACTATTTAAAATTCCAATAAAAAAAAAACGATTGGATTAATAGAAAATCTAGTAAAAAAAAGGCTACGTGTTGCATAGTGGAAGCATAACGAGATTTCTCCTTATTACCGGAAATCAGTTCTAAAGCCACATAACTTGGGAACAACATTATCTCGATAACAAAACTGTACATTGCCTATGATCACTACTATTAGTGGCCTTATTATTTTTATTATTATTATCCATTTGCATATTCACATTCATTTTCAAGAACATAATAGTTATCTATTGACTTGTTGGAGCTCTGCTGACTGCCCTCACTCTAGTACTAGTATTTAAGGAACTCGATTTGTAATCCACACTTGGTTTCGTTTTCGTTCATCCATTCTCTGCGGTCGCACACTTGAGGACAAGGTTATGATAACTTGCAAATTGCAGATCGCTGGATGTTGTGACAGCTGAGTCGAAGTCTCGATCTCAGTCTGGGCCGATCTTGTTTATCAACAACAACTCCAACGCTTCGGCAATTGCTGCCCATGGAGTTTGAAGTGTTAACCATCCAAGACTTGCCCGCCCCACTTCATTCCGTCGATCGGTGTTCAGCGATCGTGCCAAGCGTAACAAATTGGAAATGAACACAACTCAAATGGTTGATCATTTTTTCAGTTTTTTTGTTAATGGCTTTTGTGCTTTTGAGTTGCAAAAATGACAATGCAAAATGAAAAAGTTAAACAGCAACGGTAACAGCGAGTGGCAAGCAGGTGTCTAATAACAGCAGCAAAAAACAATTTACATTTATTTTGCCAATGGCAGTGAAATTTGTGTACAAACCTATAGTAGATAGGTTATTGTACAAATTAAATACATTTGAAAAACCCGAGAGGCTAATATGATTTTCGAAGTACCGGATGCAGATCTTCGAAAAAACAATTGCATTTTAGTTGTTTTTTTTTTTGTGCGAGCTAATATTTTAAAATGTTCAATACTATGTTGCTGATTGAGGTGAGCTCGGTCCTCAATACAGCGCGCTGCAGTTGAACAATTGCAGTCTCTTTAATCCGAAAAGTTTGTAAAATCATAAAAGATTATTTAGTCCAAGTGTTCAGTCTCTAGCTCTATCCCCGTAATATATAAATATTGTTAGAGAAACACAATCTGTATAGTATATGTTTAATATTATTAAATAATTATTGGAGCAGCACATTTGTGTTGCATTTTCAAAATGTGTTCGATAAATTATATATTTCAGAGATCTCAGGAAAATGGTGCCAAAATAAATATAAATATTTTTGATTGTCTTTATGTCTCTAAGAAACAAATAAACTAAACAGAATTAGAAAGCTAACATAAACATCGTTATATCGATGTATCCTTATCCACAGAAGCGATTACAAATAAATGATTTGTCTTCGACATTTTTATGTATGTCGATCGATATAATAAAATAAAATAATGTTCGACATCCCTAGGAGATTAAGAGTTTTAACAAAATAACGCAAAATAACAAAAACATTGAACGCAATTACAAAATAAAAATTTTCAATATAAAATTTATGAATAGCATTGTCCTACATCAAGATGTGTTTCACTAATTTAGTTTGTCTAACAATTAGCTTCGTTTTTCTGCTCTATAAATAACAAAAGCTGTTGTTGAAGACAAATTAATTTCCCTTTACAATTATAGTATTACTGATTGCAACACTTAACTATGAGAATTAAGTCTAGAAAATATTTTTTTAAACTCATTATTATTCTTGTTTATTGGCATATAGAATTTTATCCTAAAGTTCTGCATCGATGTCATGTTCTTAGCGTCGGCGATGTACATAACATACATCAATAGCTTAGGACATAAATATATAAATACATAGGTGTATAATGATCGGCTAAGTAGTTCGGTTAATGTTAAAATACTTAAGTATAAATAAATATATTCACAAGGGGGTCATCACAGTATCGCCTCAGTCGCCTCAGTATTAGTTGGCTGAGATTTTTAAAATAGCAAAGATATACTTGTAGCTTTTAAGCAAATATTGTCTATTTGAATAAGGTATATTGTATAGGGTGATTTATAACTTTTATCTTTCGAATATGGATCATAAAAATGTATTTATTGCACTCAAGAATATTGTTTTCTTTCTGCATGTTGAAATAATAATCGCAATTAATGAAAATTCAATTGGAAAAAAACCAACCTGTAGTGCATGTGGTGCTGCCAACCTGTGCCAAAAGTTTCGAATTCCTTTCGAATCTACGAATACTGCAATGAAAATGAAATGTAAAATTTTATTGAGATTTCATTAAAAATTAAATTACTTAATTTTACAAATATTTTGGAGCTTCGTAAGTTTTGGAAAATAAGGTTCAGAGCCAGGAGAGAAAGAAAGTTGTTAGTATTTTGGAGAGTAGAATGGGAGGAATGGCATGGGCTTAGGGAGCGCTCACTGTATTGCAATTATTGGACTTGTAAAGTTTGGATGTCCATATGGTTCTCTTCAAGGGCAACTCATTGCAACTGTTTTGGGCCAGTTCTGTTTTGTTTTGCTTCTGGGGACTGTTTTGGGCGACAGCGACAGCGACGGTGACAGACAGTCGTGTCTGCATGTTGGGGAGGGGGAGGCGGGGGCGCGGGTGGCACTGTTTATCAGACGTTGACGTTGGCGCTGATGTCGACGCAGCGATGAGCTGTGACTGTGACTGTGGCTGTGGCGATCGTGGTTACTGCGGCGTTGTTGTGTGCGCGAATTGAAATTGTTGTTGGCGGTGTTTGCGCTGACGCCGCCAGCAACAGCAACAACAGTAACAGTAGCAGCAGTAACGGCAACAGCAACGTTGACGCAGAAGCAGACGCCGACGTAGACGTCTAGTGTAGACTGGTGGCAGTCATCAAATTCAATTCGAATTTTAGTCGCTGAGTTCAGCTCAACGTCGCTGGTTTGGCAAAGATCGCTGGGCAAGAGCTAACGGCACACACACACACACACAGACGTACATGCACACAAAAAGACACACACACATACACAAAGAGAAAGAGAGAGAGAGGAAGAGAGACGGACAACAACAACAACAACGGCAACGACAGCGACAACAACTGCAATATTTTTGAAGGCAACCTCCTCCTGAGTCTTGCAGTTGGTCATGTTGTTGTTGTTGTTGCGTTCAAGTTGAAAAACTTTCGCCGCACATCCTAAGCGCGAGGCTAGGTGAGGCCTAGGCAAAGAAATTAATATCACAAAAAGAAAAAATAAAACTAAATAAAAAACGCCAAAAAAAAAAACAAACTCCAACAAAACAAAATAAAACAAGGAGAAAAACTGACAGCCGAAAAGAAACAGCTACAACAACAACAACAGCAACAACTACTGCTGCTGTTACAGTAGCAGCAACAACAACAATAACAACAACAACAACGATAACAACAAGTGCAATGTGAGTGTATTTACCGTTAACCCAGCATCGTTTATTATTTGTCATACTACTTGTATGTATTATTAAGGTGAGAGTGTTCGCCGGTATGCGAGCACTTTTTTATTATCATTATTATTTGTACACTATTTTTTTTTTCGCATATACGGTATGTACACTTATATTTTTTTTGTTACTAATTTCATTAAAGACATGTAAATTAAATCAAATTTGCGTTTGTCGTGAAATTTCGTTTGCATTTCGCGCCGCGCCGCTTTGTTGCTTATTATGTGTGTCTGTGCGAGTGGGGGTGGGGGTGTTAGTGTGCGTGTGTGTGTGTGCTTTGTGTTGTGTAGGTGGGTGGAGAGGGTGTGGGGGAGACTACGGCTTTTGTTTGACAATTTTAAGTTGCTCTCTCTATTGCTGCAGCACGTAGTGAGCTCACATTTGCGTGCCTGCCACAATAAAAAATTACCAAACAGATCGCGAAAAATAAAATCCAAAAAATAATACATTTATTTATACAATTTCCCATTTTCCATCTTAATTTGACATTTTGTTTGGCATGTGGCATTAAACGTAATTACAATTACAGTTTTGCATCACTGCGAAATATTCAATTCAATTGTTATAAAAAAGGGTCTTAGTCTTAAGATTTCTTCTAAGTGGCATGCAGCTTTCTCCCCAAAAACAACAAGGCATCGCCCCCAAGTCTGTCAACAGTATGTTTATTTAAATAACATTTGTGCTGGAGATATACAAACTGATAATCACAAAGCATATATGTGTATATGATCTTAGCATTTTTTACAATTTATATATTTACTCTTACCTATTATTCTACAGTTTTGTTCAACAATTTTCCCTCTCTCTCTAACACACACACACACACACATCAGTTTATTGAGCTATAGCTAATAAAACTCATATTATTAAACGTAAAGAAAAGATAACATATTGCTGTTTGTTAGCACTGATAGTATTAGCATTATTCATTGTCTCTGATAAATATCTGAAATACAACTAAAGTCTATCTATTTATCTATTAACTGCCTATCTATCGATTTATTTAACACTCGCTGTCTTCTTTAATACTTCACCTTTTTTTTATAAAGTTAAAACAGCTTCTTTAAAGTTATTGAGTTATTATTAAACAATTTTTAGAACAAAAAAATATCCTGTTAGCAAATACTGTTTTCCAAATGTATATTTCCACAATATATTCGAACAGAACAGCTTACAATTATACCATTTTTTTAACCTCTAATGCTGGTAAAAAAGAAAAAGATAATGTTTGTTTATGGGGTAAAGGGTTTATCATCTCTGTGCGCCATCGTCTACTATATACTATGTATGTTCTAAGTATTTTTAACAGATTTGTTAAGGAAGTAGTATTTTAATTTAATATTAGATATGCGCTACTGGAAAGAAGTTTTTTTTTTTTTAATACGCCAAGATAAGGCAGAGCCAGCCGATGAGCTTTGATTTGTTTATAATTTTCGTTGCATAGAAAGACTATTAAAGACTAGTTCCTCTATTTTGTAACTAAACTCATGCATTTCTTACATTTAAAGCTGAATTATAAATAGAAGGGCATTTACAGTTCCTCTATTTTGTAACTAAACTCATGCATTTTGTACATTTAAAGCTGAATTATAAATAGGAGAGCATTTACATTAACACCAAAAACTCTGGAACTGATGACTATCTATAGGCTTTCTAGGTACTCATGGTAATTACTAAGTTTCTAGTATGATAACAATTTTAAAATCAATTAAAATGAATTGCACTTTTGGGTAAGCGTGACATCTTTTTTTTAATTCGCTGAGCAATGTTTAATTTAAGCTCTAATTGAATTATTTATTTTCATTTTTTTACACTGTTTTATTTGGCATTTTAATTGAATATGTAATTGCATGAAACTGTTGTTTATTTTAACAATTTATCTGTTTTTTTTTTATGGCTCGCCATTTTGCTTACCGCTTTGTGTTACATATAATTATATTAGCGGAATTATTATCATTAGTTATTTGTTGTTGCTGGAAATTCCGCGCCATTTTGCTTTGTTTCGAGCACAAAATTTGTAACACATTTTCCACTGTCGCTGGCACGATTGTTGTTTTAGTTGAACTTGTAAGTGCTGGGTTTTTTGTTGTGCAGGGCAGTTAGTTCATAAATACCTAAATAAAATAATTGTGCGCGCAAACATGTGTATGTGTGTGTGTGTGTTATTCTTAGATCTCAGTTTTATGATTGAAGTGTGCATAAATAAAATGAAATGTGCGCTGGCCGCTCACAAATCTCCAAAGAACAACTTTCGTCAGTTAATTCTATTTAATTATTTTAAATTATAGTTAGAGAGAATAGCTAAACACACACACACACACTATCTATATACAGAGGTATATATAATCGCACGATTGGTCATACAATTAATAACGTAATGACAGATACGCCATGTGCGTGTGGGGGTGTGTATCGGTGTGTATGTGTGTGTGTTTGTGCGAATGCCGGAAGTGACAAACAAAAAATGCAAAAAAATGTCATTTAAAGGGCCAGAAATGTGATTTGTTTTCAGGCTTTTTTTATACTTTTTTTGCTTTTGTTTTATTGCTATTTTTATTAAGAGACTAGTGCTTATGTTCAATTTAAATTTAGTTGTGTCGTGTGAAAATAACAATAACAACAACGCGCACTAACAAATCAAATCAAACAAATTGTCTAAGCAAATCGTTTAATTGAAAACGACGTAATCCCCAATTTACTTGTATTTGTTACTTTTTTATTAGTTCTGTTATACTTATGTATAAATAAATATATACACGAGTAGTTCCTGCTGTAGATGTTCTAGGCATTGTGTTCGTTGCTGCTTAAAGCCTCGTTAATATGCGAGAGCATGCCACTTCGTCGGCACTTCCCAAAAAGCGAAGCCACTTCCACGTTTAAGTCACAACTATTGATGACCCTATTGCCCATTTAATTGTGTTATTCACAAACAATGCAGCACACAAGCTTACAAGTACTCCTACACACATACATATATCTGGCTAGATATATATACATATGTACATATATGCTTATATTGAAGAACATTCAGCTGTTTACACTTCGTTTTTGGTGGCATTGGCATTAAGGTCTCTCTCTCTCTCTCTCTCTCTCTCTTGCTTTTTCTGCTGGCCAAGCGAGCGTTGACTTTGGGGCCACGAGTTCCCTATTTGGGTTCAATGCACGTCTTGCCAACTGCAGTATAACTATTCGTATATGGACTGCAGAGCTTTGAATGACACGAAGGGCCACAAAAAGAAACCTCTTTAACTTCCTTCCATCGATATATTTCAACTTGCTTGAGTCTTAACTGAACAACTACTCTACTGCTGCCACACTCTTACCTCACTTTTATTCACAATGGCAAAAAATCGCGCTTTAAATAATCTTATTCAACACTAGAAGATTCTTTTGAAATGTCTTCACTTAATGATGATAATGACAACAGTTAGAAATAAATCATAAAATGTGCTAAACCATACCAATTGACTAGAGCTTTTTTGAAATTTAAGAAACCAGTACTTTATGTTATTAATTATTATAAATGTAGGCAAAATTTAACAGTCAATTTAAAATTTATTTTGTGACACGCTCAGACAACAGACAAATAATTTGCACGCTTGAATATAATATTTTCAATTAAAGCAAATAAGAGTTCTATGCGATCTTATTTTCAAAGCCTGCGATTTTTTTGTGTACAAATTATTTGCATGTGTGACCAGAGCCTTAGGTAACTTTTAAGCGAGGCTGATTGCCGCCAAGGGATTCCCACTTTTGAAAAAGCAATTCTATACTTTTGGGCTCAGTTATGATAATTATTATTATATTCAAAAGGCTTCAGAATATTCTGTATTATTTTTGGTACATTATTTCTAGAGGTTGCTGGCTTTTGCTATAATTTTTTTTTAATTTCACTCGACAGTGCTCTTTAGATTTTTTTTTAGGGAGGAGGTACTATCCCACATTGGTTCCCACCGTCTTTTAATTCGACTGTCCCATTCGAGTTTTGCATCATCATCAGCATTGTTGTCGCTATAATTCCATTAGCATATGGGAGGTTGCAACATAGCGGCCGCAAATTGCAATTGAAGATGCCAGATACCGGTCTAGGTTAGGCCCTGGAATTTCGGCAGCGCATTGTAGTCTTCGAGTCTATTGAAGCTGGGATGTCGGGGATGTCGACGACAAAGACAACGATGTTGATTGCAATTAAAAGCAATTGAAATAGCTTGGCTCGAAAATTCGGTGGGAGGCTGATCTGGGGCTAAGCTGTGCTTAAATACTTGTACATACATAAATAGTTCAAATAAGTGCCACAATGCACTGCAAAAAATATTCTTGAATTTAACGGAACGAACTTTCGAAAGTTAAATAAAGTTTATTTTGAAATGAGCGCCTATTTAGAAATGTGCCATGAATGTGAATTGTCTAGGAAACCAACGGCTTGAAGAATAAATGAGGATAAATAAAAATAACGGTTAAAAAAGGTTTAGAGGAATACCGAGGGCTATTAAATGCAGTAAGAGTGTTGTCAAATTAAAAATACAAAGATGTGTCCATAACGAAACACCGGATCGTTCTTAGGGTCATATTTTCGGGTATTCATAATTTTTGACCGATTTTTCATCTATGAAGAAAATGTTAGGAAAATACGCTTACTATAGAGTGCTGCCAACTTAAAATTAAAACGAACACCTGATCGTTCTTAGAGTCATATTTCCAGTTAGTATTTTATTCGCAGTAGTATTTCATAGTTTTGGCTGATTTTTCATCCATAGTGAACATGTCTAGAGAAATAACTGTAAACATAAAATACAGTTATAGTGCTGCCAACTTAAAATTAAAAAGATTTGTCCATATCGGAACAACTGATCGATTTTATGGATATATTTCCTGGTCATAGTTGTACACAATAGTATTTCATAGTTTTTGGCCGATTCTTCATATAGCATGAACATGTTCGGATATATTATTTTTTC